GGRMMRGRAAARSCCCMAAAGCCTCGGGACAACGAGTTTGACYCCAGTTTGGTGCTGGTGTTGGGCAGGGTCGGGCACAGCTCCTGATGGGGGGGAAAGGGGGGGTTCCCAAGGGCATTCCCAGCAGCTGGAGAGGGGGGAAGGAGGGATGGGAGGGTGAGGAGAGGTCACCTATGTTGAACTCCTCGTTCTCAGTGATGATCTCGGCGTTGGGGACCATGGTGGGAGGCTGGCACCGGAACAGCTGGTAGGCTGGGAGGGTGAAAAAAAGAGCAGCAGATGTTCATTTGGGGGTGAAAAGCCCCAGGATGGACTCAGGGAAAAGCCTCCCCCCTCTCCACGAGGAGGAGGAATTGGCAAAATGCAGCCAAGCCCTCCAAACCCCTTGGAGATGGATCTGGGAATTTGTGTCCCCCAAAGTTTCTCACTCCTGGTGGGAAACAGGTTTGGGTCAGTCCAGGGGAGGTTCTGGGGCAGGTCAGGGGAGGTGGAGGTGCCTGCACAGTGTCAGTCCCTTTGGAGGACACTGAATGGTGACCAAGGGTGAGGCAACGTCCACCTGCACCTTTTTGGGATACTGAGGGAAGATCTTGGGGACCTCAGTGGGATCTGGGCAGTCACAGAGGAGGGAGAACCCCCCCCCAATAACTACTCAGGGAATTCCATCCTTAATGCCTGTCCTTCAACAGGGATCTCAGAATTCACTGATTTCTTTTTAACTCAAGAGTTATTAATTTCTTCCAGAAAGAATTCCAGGAGTGCTGGTGCTTCCAACTGCACTTCCAACTGCAGATCCTCCTTGGAGTTCACAGAGTGACCTGTGCAAGGTCAGTGTCAGTGCTCACAGAAGGCAAAACAGGGCAAAATTTCTACTCTTTGCCTCATTAGGTGTTTTTCTGGGGGTACCATGTGGCTCAACAGGAAGAAATGCAGTTGAGGAGCAGAAATTAATTTTTTTAGGGCAAATTCTCCACCAAAAATTAAATCCCAGCTCACAGTGAGCAAAAGGAAAGCAGGTGCTCAGGAGAAGGGGGGTGCTCACAAAAACAAACACCCCAGAGCTCTGAGCAGGGGTAAATTGGATATACTGGTCCCAGCAACCAAATGAATATTAATGCCAGACATTTTCTGCTATTTGCTCAGCACTTCCCTGCATTCTCTGCTCCCCCTGCACCTGACCCCAGACAGGCAGAACTTCCCCCTGAAATTCAGATCAGCCTTTTCATTTAGGAGAGGCTGGAGCTCGGGCTGCCCCTGAATATCAATTCCTGCCAACCCCAGGATGGATGTTGAACTCTCCACACCCACAGGAGGGCTGGCAGGCCTGGCAGCACCTTAATGAGGTGATGATGGTGGTAAAATGCCCTTTTGTCTTGCCCTGATCTCCTTAGTCCACAAGGTGGGGCAGGATAATACTTTTCCAAAGGTCTGTGGGAGAGCAGGGTGTTTGCAGAGAACACAAGGGCTTCTCTTCAATTTGAGGGATGGGCTCACCTGTCCTGGGTGTGCAAGGGGAGGAAAACACCAGCACATGACACTGGGGGGATCCTGAGCCCCCGGGGCTGGTGGGAGGTGTCCCTGCCCATGGCAGGAACTGGGTGATCTTCAGGGTCCCTCCCAACCCAAAGCATCCCATGGTTCTATAAATGAGACTTTCATGACAGGCCAAGCAGTTGCCAGAGTGGCTACAGGTTATAAATGACTGTTAAACCACCCCTGATCCCTTCCAGCCCCAATCCCAGACTTTACACCTCCATAGAAAACCCCCTCAGGATTAGGGAATGGCCTTGTGGGCTCTGAGGGGCTCCCATTCCCACCACAAAGGGTGGGAATGCAGCACTGGCCACCCTCTGCCTCCTTCCTGAGCCAAACTGCCCAAACCATCCTTTCCTGCAGAGCTCTTCCATTGTTTGGGAATGTTAATCTTAGAGCAGCAGGAGATCAGCTCCTTCTGGAGCTCAGCAATCCCTTAAATTCAGCCTGTCCCTGGAACACCCACCCCTCAGAGCTGAGCTCCAGCCCTTCTGCAGGGGCTCAGCATGGGATTCATGGAATTCACATTCCTGAAGCAAGAGCAAGTTCTCCATTTGCACTTTCCCAAATCCCAGCACTTGCTGCAGGAACTTGTCAGCTAATCCGATTTCCAGGCAGGCTCTTGTTTAGTGCCACCAAGCAAATGCTCTCATTTAATGTAATACCCAAGATTTTGCTGCCCTCACACCAAAGAATCCCTGAGTAATCCAGGGATTTACAGGAATCCTTCTCCTCCCCGGAGGAATGGAGTTGTGTCTCTGCTGGATCATTGAAAACAGGCCCCCAGGATGATCCAGTTGGTTTAGCAGAGCACTGGAAAAGGGAATCCTGCATCCACAAACTGCAGGGAAGGGGAGTTTCAGGCAAACAAAGCAGGGCTGTCCATGAGGGATATGCCAGGGAGAGGAGGGGATTGACAGGCAGCATAAGAGACCTTCAGCCTCCAGGCTGGAAAACTGCCCCTGTGGGGAAGACTCCAGGTCAACAAGAGTGTTTGTTCCCATCTTTCCCAGCACTGTTCCTGCCTCCCAGCTGCTCCCTGTGCCCCCCACCCCCCGGGACAGGGCCATACAGACCATAGAAATAAATGGCAAAAATGCCCCCGTTGGCTGCGTCGCTGTGGAACTTCAGCAGGACCTGGTTGGAGGAGCTCTGGGCTGATTTCTTGGCAGAGTTGCCAGTGAACACACCCAGCTGGGGGGCTGTTTGCTGGGCTCCATCCCTGCGTGGCAGAAACACGGGAGAAGAGCATCAGTACATGGTTTTTAACCTCAGAAAACAACCCTCCTCCTCCTCCTCCTCCACTCCTCCCTGCTCTTCCTTCCTCGCCCTCCCTTTCCCAGATCTGTTTTTCATTTCCCAGCAGCTCCCTGGGCAGTGACCTGGACCCCCCAGTCCCTCTCCCTGCTTCCAGGAGAACCAGAATCATCTCTTCTGGCTCACAGTGCTCACCCAGTGGACAACTACAACCACGAACTTCACTTTTAACCTCAGAACCTGAAGAGCTAGGACTGGTTTTCCAAAGGAATGTCGCTCCCTGTTTGCAGAGCAGGCACTGGGATATTCTGAAGACCATTGATTGAGTGCTACAAGCCCAAGAATTCGGCCCCAAGCTCTTTAAGCAGAGCAGCTACATGTGCTCCCTTGGCTGCCTGAAGCTGATAATGTGCAGCACTGTGCATAAATAATATTTCCATCTATTTCTATTAAAAGAAATAATGCAAAAATAATGATTTCTCTTCCCTCCTACAAGTAGAAAAGGAAGCTCCCAGCCTGGAAAGCCCCTGGGGTGAAGAAAGCAGTGTCACTGCAGCAGAGCTGAGCCCATCTCCAGCAGAGATCCCAGTTCCCATGGAAAAGCCAAGGGCACCTTTCCCAGATGGAGCCCCTGGAGTGGCTCCAGGAGCCCCCCAGAGCTGGGCTGTACCCACCACACAGTGATGAAGTCGTTGTAGGGCTCTGTCTGCAGCAGGGTGAAGTTGAGGTGGATCCCATATCCCACGGGCACCGTCAGGAGCCAAGTGCAGTCCTGGGAATTGGGGTACTGGTTGGGGAAGCCAGGGGAGTAAACTGTCCCATTCTGGGTGGTGACATTCCCCCCACAAGGCACTGCAGGGAATCAGAGAGAAACACAGACCTGATGAAGAAATACCCCCCCAAACATAACTCTTAAAAATCCCCCATTTCCCGTTTTTCTCTCATTTTTTACCATAACAAGATGTCAATTCTGGATGCAGGAGGACCCAGATCTTGGCCTGACTCGCCTCAAACAACCTCCACCTGCCACGAGCACGTCAAACCTTTTTAACTTCATCCCATTACAGTGAATTTATGAAGTGCTCCAGAGCTGAGAGGAGCCTGCCAGGGCGTTTTGTCCAGATGTGACAGCCAGGTGTGCAAACAAATTGTCTCTCATGCCCTGCTAAGAGTCCCTGGGCTCCACCAGCTGTCTGCAAGGAAAACAGAGCTCCTGCTGGGATCACACCAGTGGGCAAATCCATGCCCTTGTTCCTGCAGCAGGGGCTGGGCCAGCAGGGGGGAAATGAGGATTTGTGTGGCAGCAGCGTCCAAGCCATTAATCACCAGGACAGTTCCACTGCACCAGGAGCCCTCCAGCTCCAAAGGGACTCACAAACTAAAGAGAGGCAACTGGAGGCAGCCTGGGCAGGGCCCTGGGGGGACAGGAGGGTGACCTCCTGCTGCAGGGACACAGCTCTGGGTGGCTCAGGTACAAGCAGCAGCCTCTGCACTGCCCTGGCATGGAAATGGGAATGCTGACAGCACCTGCAGGTGCTCCTGCCCTCCTGCAGGCACTGGCACAGCTCAGTGTCCCCTGCCTGAGCCAGCTCTGCCCCAAGGCCAAGGAGCTGCATCAACCCAATCCTGGCATGGGAACAGGCTGCTCAGGGCACTGCTGGAGTCACCACCCTGGGGAGCGTTCAAAAATCATGGGATGTGGCTTTTGAGGACCTGGGTTAGTGGTGAGCTGGGTTGATGGTTGGACTTTGGTGACCTTCAAAGTTCTTCCCCACCCTCAACGATTCCACGGTTCTCCCTCCCCACACAGCTCCTGGGTCCAGGCTCAGGGTCTCACACCCTCTGCTTTCCATGCAGGAGCAGCTCCCCAGACCTCCCTGAGCCAGCTGAGAGCCAAACTGCACGTGTTCCCTGCCTGGCCCTGCTCTGGGAAGAGCACGTGTATTTACAGAACTCCCCACGCTCGTTTTCTCAAACACACACCCAGGAAGCCTCAGGGGCCAAGTTCCCTCCTGCCCTGCAGAGCAGCAAAACCTCCTGCCCTGCTGATCCCTGCAAAACCTCCCTGGAGCGGTGCTGGAAAAACCTCTGTGCCTTTTATTTCGGAATTAACAGCTTCTCTTTTAATTAAAAGACCTTTCAGCACTGACCTGCCAGGGAAAAAGGTGAGGTGCTTTGCCTAAGGCAGCACGTCCTCCCTGCCTGCTGCTATGCAAAAAATGGACCATTTAAGGGAAAAGAGCAAGAAAAGGCAAGTTCTGTATTGCTTTACCAGCAGGAAGAGCCCAGCAGATGTGCACAGAGAGCAGCAGCAAATGGGCCAAAACGTCCCTCACCCTCACCTCTCTGCTCTCAGAGTGCTGCAGAGCCAGCAAACTACTTAAAAACACAATAACAGGGAGGGCTGCAGCTGGCAGAGCTGGTGCCCGAGGTAGGTGAGGGCACAATCCTGCTCCCAGCACCCTCTGGGCACAGGACAGGCTCCCACTGACACGGTGCTGGACTTGGAAAGAGCAGCTGAGGATTTGGTTCTTTGTGCTCTGTGTTCTCTGGGGTTCAAGGACTTAAAAGAGGGAAAATATCACCTCTCTCTCTACCTCCCTGCACTTCTTGCAGACCAAGGGCTGTAAGAGGCTGGGAGAAAGGTCAGTGCTCCTGGGAAAGGTGGGGGGAAATCTTCAATAAGCAGAGCTGAACTTCTCAAAGCTTCACTTGCAAAGCTTCTGAAGTCAGTCCCACAGAACTCAGGCCACTGGCCCTGTGGATGACAGGCTGAAACAGCCTCGCTGTGGGGGGGGGGAAGAGAATTTGGACAGTGGAGTTTTGATGCCTGGAATACAGATCTCCACTCCCTCAGCCTGCAGGGGCCTCCTGGCACACTGGTCTGCAGAAAGGAGAGCATGGAAAGTTCCTGGGTCATTTTGGAGATGCCACACTAAGGAGACCAGGGCAGGGACACCACCTTCCCAACTGAGAGTCCCAGAGCTGCAAGGATCTCTGCCCAGGGACTAAGTGGATTTCCCAGTGCTAAATCAAGAGAAGTTCAATGCTGTTGAAGAAATAAAACAAAATGTAATTACTCCTACAAGGGCCCTGGACTGCCCAGGGAAGGGG